CCTGCACTAGGTGAAGGGTTGCAGGATGGACTGCAGGAGCCTGGAGGCAAGGGGGAAGTTAGCATTAGAGAGCCTAGTTAGAAGTGGTCGATCCAGTGGCATTATCAGAGAAGTCTTGGCCATGCTAAAGTGACATTTATCCACAGCATTGTGTGTGTAATAAATACAACTTACTATTCTGGTTTCCAAAGTGAGCCCAGTGTCTGAAAACCTCAGGGCTCGTGTACAATAAATTAACATAATTAAAAACTAATTAGTAAAACATCACAATTAAAAGGACTTGTTGCGGCAACACCTCTCAGGTAAGAAGAAGGGGCCAGAGTACCAGCAGCCAGTACACAGGGAAGGCTCTAAGAAGAGGAAGGCAACCGTGAGACCTTATGGCCCCTCAAGGCCTCCATCCCCAAGGAGCACCTTGAGAAACTGGCCTGAAGCACAAAGCACATAAGCAGCCTAAATGTCCTACTCAGGTCTAGGGACCAGACCCAACAGGCTGAGGGGGCTGCCCTTCTCCTCTGCAGGAGGAGAGTCAGCCAGACCCTCAGCCCCCAACAGCCTGTTAGCAATGCTCCGATAATATCGGCTGCCCAGAAATTGATCTAAGCACTCTATCTGCACTTACTCATTTAATCTTCAGGACAACTCTATGAGCTAGGTTCTGTTATTTTACAAATTAGGAAACTGAGCCACAAGGAGATTAAATAACTTGCCTGAAATCCCACAACTAATAAGTGGGAGAGGTAGGACTTGAAGCTAGAGAGGCAAAGCCAGAGCACAGGCTCTGCCAGCTTTGCCAGAACCACAGCCAAAGCCACTTTTTTCTGTTGAACCGGGCACTGTCCTTTTCATAAAATGTAAATTCTCTGGGGAAGATAAGGAGTCCATTTCTAACCCTTCAATGCAATCAAGCTCATCCAATCTAGGTACCCCTTCTAGAGCCCATTTATACCCTCAATCCCCATTCACTCACCTTAGAGTAATTCTTTACATGGAAACCACAGGTCAACATAGATGTGCCACTGTGTCATCTTCTTGGATGTGATGTGAGGAAGGAAATGAGGGTGGAAGGAAGGGATTACAAGTCTCCATTTTACAGGGGTGGGGGAAGCCGAGATCCAAGGAAGTAATGGCTCAGGACTCTTGCTGCCTTCTGGCTTTCCCAATCGCACCACATAGGATCTCCCTGGCTGATTTTGTGCCCCTTTATTCTCACATTGCCCTTCCATTTGCAGTATGTTCTCATCAAGTGAGGCCAAGCTCAAGTTTGGCATGGAAACCTGGAATAGAAGCTGATCAAAGGCCCAGAGATTCCCAAAAGCCTTGCCAGCCAGAGTTCGTGGGCAGGGAAGCCCTGACAGACCAGGGAAGCATGTTGCTGGGGCTCAACCAGCAAGGTAAACAGCTCAGAGGATCCTCTTCTGCCAGCCTTAGTATCTGTCAGAGCCCCTGGAGACAGCCTTGTCTTTCTGGGGGAGACCTTAGATTTTGCAAACACATATAGCACCTTCTCTCTCATTCTCTTCCTCCCCTCAGAAGGTTTGCTTTCCTGGTCAGACTCTCTATGGGCTCAGGTAAGGACCCAGAGGTCCTTCCATGGTCTACTCTAGGTAGCAGGACACTCCTAAAATTAAGTGTAAAGTGGTGGGAATTGTTTTTCTCTTTTGTTCTCATTCCTGTAGTTGTTTATACTATTAAGTCTTCCCAAATTATTCAAGGACAAAGAAGCTCTGATATTGTAATGAAGACCTAGACAGAGCAGAGGCTGCCCCGGAGCCCCATCTTTCCAACCCACTGGTATCCACGTGGAAACCCCTCTTCATTTTCACTGGAGAACTCACTCCCAGACTGGCAACTCTAACATGCCTCAACCTGCAAGCCACCTCCTTTCTGTCTTCCCAAGCTCAACTGCCCCTGACTACAGGGACAGATCAGGGCTCTCCACTCCAGAAAGCCTTCTATGGATACCACTGTTCACTTGAGCTCCACCTTCCTGGGGGCTCATATCTACTGAGTCTGCTCCTTTCACTCATGCCCTTGGGTAGCCGCTGGGTTCTCTGAGCCGGTCTCTTTGCCCAAACATATGAGTTCACTCCAGAGAATAGAGGAGACCCATATCTCCAGGCTGCCTCCCTGTCCTCTGCAGGTCTGGAGAGAGTAGTCACTCCATAGAAACCTCTGGAGACCTGGGCTCTTGATGGGGGGAGCCCAGCTTAGATGGCAGCTCTATTTTCAGCTGGGACACATCATAACCTTGGAGAACTTCCTAGCCCAAGTCTAGGCCATCAGCTAGTTCTCTGGCAGCCTGGTACCCTCTGTATTTGTTTTAACAAGTGCTCTGATTTCCTCAAGGCCAGTACCCACCTCGAAGATAACCACACCTAACTTGAATTGTTTTCTTTTCTTTTTTTTTTTTTTTCTATTTTCTCCTATGTGGAACTTCTCATGCCTGGAAGACATTTAACCATCTGTTGCCATTTGCCGTTCTGAGGTTTTTTGCTGGATATGACTTTGGTCTTTCTATCTAGACAGTGAGTTCTTTGTCCTTTCTCTGATGCTTCCAGTGGGAGATCAGAAGGACTGGGTTAACACAAGAATGATGGAGTGGTGATGACTCCAAGCCAAGCAGCAAAAACGAATGAGGTTAAGTAGTTGTGTGTCCTCTGAACTGCCTGTCTTGCCCACCCTGATTTGGGGATACCAGGGATCAAACCTAGGGGCAGTCGGCTACTGTGCCACATCCCCAGCCCTACTTTGTATTTTATTTAGATACTGGGTCTCACTGAGTTGCTTAGCACCTCACTGTTGCTGAGTCTGGCTTTGAACTCAATATCCTCCTGCCTCAGCCTCCCAAGCAGCTGGGATTACAAGTGTGTGCCTCCATGACTGGCTGAACTACCTGTTTTCATCTGCAATCTAAATTCCTTCCCAGAGAGTGTCAGCCTGGGCCTTCAGCTTCCCCATCATTAAGGTCTAGATGAATTAACACAGTATTGACCCCTGCCCCAGTCGGATTAGCTGTTGGAATCTATAAACTCCATCTTGAGTGCCTACCTGTGCACCCATCACTATAAAAGGGCTTCAGAGAAGGAGGAGAGATCCTGGATTCCTACTATCCACAAGTGCACTATCTAGATGGAGAGAGAAATTTACAGGCAAGAGAGCCAGAGCACATCCAAGGATGTGTGGCCACAGCCAGGGCTGCAGAATGTGGTTCAGTTGGCACCAGATGGAAGAGAGTGATGGGGGCTCAACTAGAGGGAAGTAATGCACAAAGGGCACCCCCTTTGGAGGAGGGGAGGATGAGCAGGAGGCAATAATGAAGCCTGAGTTCCTAACTCTCCAACCCAAGACCTCAATCCCACCTGGGGCATCCTGACACCCACCAGAGATGAATCAGCAACAAAACTGACAAACCCAGACCGAAAATGAGAATCACTTGTTCCCAGCTCCCACTTCCATTTGCCAGTCTTCTCCCTCCCTCCCCGCTGCCTCTCTCTCTCAGTGGTTGGAATAATTGTGGCCATGAAGTGGCACTTGGATAAAAAGTTTTAAATCTGCTTAAATGTCACAGTGAATAATACTTTGCCCCTATCTTTACCTAATTACATTTCTCTTTGATGATCTAAGGTTAAAAAAAATTAACTCAAGTCTTCCTAGAATATCAAGGGCAAGGATGCCAAAGATCCAACCTAACCATGTTCCATACTATTTTCTCAGGGGTCCTGCTCCTTTACTGCATTCATTTGAGATACCTGTCTGTATTATTTCATTCTCAATGCTCTGCTATGGCAGAGGGAGAGGTGAGAGCCTAAGGATCCAGCTCTGTGCCTTTAAGAGATCAATGCCTTGGCAGAAGCTGCTTCTGCAGCTGTTTACACAGGTAACTCAGTCATAACAGAACGGGTGTCCTGGCTGTTTCTGCCCCAGCAAGTTGGGGGAAGATGGGACAATTCTCCATACACCTGCCAGAAAGCTGAGAGGTGAGGGATGTACTACTCCCCTAAAAGAAGATAACCTAAATCCAAAATGAGCCAATATCAGGTGGGCTAGAGGAGAGGGTGGGAAACTTGCCTAAGAAAGAAAAAGCTCACCCTGGCCTTGGGTCCTCATATGAAGAGGCACAGAACAGAGGAACAGTCTTGCAGGGAGCTGGAATGGGCATCTGGAATAGGTGCTCCCATTCATTAACAACTCTACTCCCCCATTCACTCCTGCTCAGGGACTGCTTTTATTTATGTATTGGCTATTATTATTAATAATAATGTGAATAATTGAACACCTGTGAATGATTTACTTGGCCCTGGAGGTGGCGGGGGTGATGGCAAGAAGAAGAGGGTAAACCTTGACCCTCTCCTGTGCAGCCCCTCTTTTCCAGCTGCCTTCAGTTGCCTGCCTTCACTTCCCATTGTCATGACTTTGCTTTGAGGGGGTGGGAGGCAGAGAGAAAAAAGAAACCTCAAGTAGGAATTACTCTCCTTAACTCCCCTGTGATGGCAGAAAATATAGTCCACTCTGCTGTGAGATCCTTGCAAGCACCAGCAATGCAAGATGATGTTGCAAGAGATATTTTAGATAGTTATTAGACTCTGCTGATGTGTCCTGGGAAAGGGGGCTCTCAACCTGGTAAGCGCCTACACACACACACACACACACACACACACACACACACACATACACACACACGCATGCGTGAATGAGCACAGAGTATGGATACAAACAGCATCTGTGCACATGACCAGGCTGCATTCACACAGGCACACAGTCGGAACTAGACAAATGCACACAGCTCCTGCCACACACATAAACCCTCCGTGTACTCATCGGAGACATGTCCACCTAACTACAGTATATCACAGGTACACCAAGCACGCAGCTATGCCAGGCAGACTCTATATGAAGTTTCTGTTTCATTCCATCAACTTAGGCGATTCTTGGACCAACATATAATACTCGAAGATGTGAGCCCGTGGAAAGCCAGTTACAAAATCAGCTATACTTACAAACGACTCCATCAAGCAAAGGCAGGAGAATCTAAAATGAAAGGATGAAGTTCCACAGTTCTCAGAATAGTACTTGCTCTTTGGTTTGGGCCCCCATCATCAGGAAGAGGTTTCCGGAGAGGACTGGGGCTCTGGGGCTGCGAACCTCAGGGTATGGGAACCTCCGGGCCTCGGCCTCCTCCAGCGCTGGAGAGTACAGCTTTGTGGTTGTACCAAACGGGTTGGCCTGGGTTTTCAGGCTGCTGGGGTTTCATTTGTTTAAATAAAATTTTAAACATATTGACTAGTAACCTAAGGTAATTCATGGGTAAGAATAGAAAAGCCGGGACTCGCCGGGGTTAGGCCAGCAGCTCCGCCCAGCCGTCCCAGCTCCCAGTCCTGCAGCCCGCAGGGGAGCGGGAGCGTTATTCTAATTGGCCCCCGCTTCTGGAGCCAGAAAAAAAACAAAAAGAAAAAAAAAGCAGCTGTCCTGGAAAAGCAAATGTAGAAGAAGGGCTGCAGGTAAACACCATTAAAATGAAAACCTGCTGCCCCAGCCAAGTTCACCACCAGTCTTCGCCCCCAGAGGCGGGGCTGCTCCGCCCGGCTTCCGCGCCTGCCACTCCCTCTCTCGCGCAGCGGGTGTTCCAGCCCCAGTGGGCTTCGTGGGGAGTCCAGCGGGACTCAGGCAGGGCAGCCGGACTCTTGGCTTTATCCCACAGACGCAACTCCCTGCCTCGCACCTCTGGAGCCGGAGGTGCTGCAAACGAAACCCGCAGGGGCAGCGCACGCCGCGCGAGTCAGGGTCCGGCTGTAGCCCGGTTAGCCATTCAGCGGCTTTATTTCTTTGATGGTGAGTTAAGAAATAATTTTTTTTTTCCAATTTGAACCAGTAAAGCAAACGAGGGCAAAAATTAAGTCGTCCCCCGCGTTGGCTCACCGGCCACCGCGCCCAGCGCCTTCCTCGCTCCTAGGCAGGCGAGCGGGCCCGGGCACTCCGCTCCTACCTTCCTCCCACCAGCTGCTGGCCCAACCGGCCGCTGCTCTCCGGGACAGGGGAAGCCGTCCGGGACCGAAACACCCACCTCCCGCCTTCGGTGGCGGGCCGGGACGGAGAACGAACCGGGAATCTCTACTCCCCGAACCCCTGGCATGGCCCGTCTGCTCCCTAGCCCCATCCTCCCAGGTGGCTCGAGTGGCGGTAGATGCCAGGTGAGAGGGATAAGATTTGGGTTGCTCTGGAAGGCTGGGGATGCGAGAAGGAAAAAAGCGAAGATAGACACAGACAGGAAGAAACAGGGAGAGCGCGCGAGAGAGCTCTTGTCTACAGATTTATCCACATAATATATATTTATGTAGCTTTTTTTTTCTCTCGACACTGATCAATGCGCACTCGGATCGCTGGGCGGACTCCCTCCAAGCCAGCTCGCTTTTTCTAGTCTAAATAAATAAATAAATAAAGCCAGATGGGAGAAAAAAGCGCCCATTCCACCTCCGCCGCCGCCTTCGCCGCCGCCCCGCCCGCCATCCATGCCTTCGCTTCGCCCGCCTGTCGCCCTAATAGAGCGCAGCTCGGTGGATAACTCCCCCCTACATACCCACACGAAAATGAAAATCAATGTTTTTAAAATAGAAAAAGTTGCACCTGCTGCTATTACAAAAAGAAGCCCCAAAAGGCAAAGAGAAGAGGCCGGCTGCCCGGTTTCTAACAGGCACCCGCTGCCCGCTGCCGCCGGGCCCGGAATCTCAGCGCCTCCCGAAGAGCCATGCGCCTGGCGCTATTTATAGCCGGGGGCTGTCTCGGACTGTACCAC